CGTCAATTACTGGAACCCGGGCCCGGGTCAATTGGAGCCATGCGCAGCGGCTTCTGGCACACGCATTAATATTCCCGCCAGTTGACCCCGTGTCAACACGGAGTTGACTGTGTAACGTCACATTTTTATATGTATCTTGCTTAGTCAGAAGCTTCAGGGTCTCGTGTGTTTGATTCTCCCACGATGATGAATTTTGTTATTTTGAACATCGCTCCTTAACCAATAATTTTAATCGAATACTTCTGGGCATAGTTTTCGCTTTACTTTCACGTTTAATCCTTGTATAGTTCTATGAACACCTGTATTGAATTTGTTGTTCAAGCATAGTTTGGAACGAAGTATGGAGGGATATTTTATGGATGTCTATTATCTATAGACCTATCGGCTGTTGCTTTTGCATACATACTATGTGCAAAGCTTAACTATACAGCTAATAAAGCACCATCCTAAGTCCTTAGTCACTTACTAGATATAAAATTTCGTCCTTCGGGTACGTTACTTGGCCCGATTCTGATGCAAGTCTGACGTCACAATATTAAAAGTAGACACTACAGAGCGTCCATTAGGTGCACATTTTGACACTGATCATTGTCGGGAGACTCCTTGTTCGGCCATCGCTTGCCAACCAGTTTTTTATGCAGCAGACTACCGCAAGCGCTTTCCATTAGTCTCCTCGAACACCATAGTCCATAGGTCAAGTGGCGAGTCGCGCCGCTCCACTCCCGCGCAGCCCGGAATAGATCAATTGCCCGGGGTCGCCGGGTCAGCTGTGTTTACACGATGCAATGCTGTCGAGTACACAAGCCAATGTAAATCCTTAATGTATTTATTTAAATGGAAATATTTTACATTTCGCACACAGGATAAATAAAAATCATTGCATTTATGGGCCTATCATGGACTTAGATAAATTGACATTAAGTGCAATCATGATAAATGTTGAGTTACACACTTATTTTATTTATTTTTTTAACAAAACAAATTTTCCTTGACAAATTGTCCTGCTTGAATTCACATAAAATGTAGGATAGGCATAATATTTTTCCGAATATATTTGGCTCAAATATTTGGTAGCATATTGTGCATCTACAAAACTATTCAACGACTTACTACACTCACTTCCAGCACTATCCGACGTCACACCCAATCCCATTCCTACCATGCTTTGTAATTATTAGTCAAAAATTAAAATGTCCCACAAACACAAAAAGCGGTGCTGTCCCAAATGAAAGGGCCCGTCGGAAGAGGCTATTTGTCAAGCGGGCGGATTAATGAGCGCGTCCTTCGCCCGCCCGCCCTAGCAGGGCATATGCCCGCCCTACGGCCCTAGGGCCTCAGCCTCGAATTTAGCGCGCAGCGGAGCGGGAGCGGCGGCGGCGCGGGAGCGGGGCGGGCAACGCAGACCCGTTCTCGAAACAAGCGGGCAGCTCGCGCGGCGCTTTAGCGGCGAAGTGTTGTGTTCGGGGTTGTGTTGTCGTGATATTTGTTTTTATTCGCAAACGAAATGTCTGAACAACGGCGACAATTTTATTTCGATTCAAATTTATTCCTAAGCTCGATTTATTGTGGGCAAAAGAAGGAGTGCGCTACCCGCTCGTTGCCCGCTCCCGCGCCGCTGTTGTCGAGAACAGGTCTATTTGATTTTACGCATAAGATCCTGCCGCTCCCGCGCCGCTACCGCCGCCGCCCCGCTGCCCGCTGAATTCGAGGCTGAGGCCTAGCAGGGCATATGCCCGCGTGGCGGCGTAAAGGCTATGCCCCTGGGAGGCGATCTGGTTACCCGTGTACTTTACGTAGAACACTGACGAAATTTTTGTGTAAATAGAAGAATAGGCGGTGTGGTAATTTTGAAGTATTTATTTTAAAGAAAGTTTTCATCGAATTAGGTACTTACTTCATGTTTAGGTTTTACCATTGTCACATTTATATTATTTGTTATAATGTGCATATTAAGGTATGTATAGATAGACGCATTTTATGATATGAACATACACAATTCAGCAAGCTGAAAGGTTGATATAACAATTTCACATCAATCAAAATGTCAATTACGTTTCTTATACTTGATTAATTGCGTCTACACTGGAAGCAGAAGTAATACATTTCCTTGGAAACCTTTACTATAATTAGAATACGTTTGGTTTCCGTATTACACTACAGCAATTTCAATTTGTGACACCTCTTCGTGCATGTAATAATAGGGTGCGTGGCGCCACAAAGACTTAGTAATTACGCGGCCGCGGTTGCCGTGCGGGTGACGTGGGCCCTGTTCTGCGGTGTACCGTGTACTGTCGTTGAAAGAAAGGGTACCTATTGTTTTTACGATAGACCCTATTGGTAGTTGAATGGGTCTATCAATAGGGTAGCGGCAACATGTGGTTATTTATAAAATTGAAATGTAAAAAAAATAAATAGATGTTGATCGAAATATCCCCTGAAGAGTGTTGTTGCTAGTCCGTGAGCCCGCTGCAAAATTGCCTAAGTACTTCATACTGCTTGCACGTTTGGAAAATACTAACTTAATTATGATATGAACTAGTTATATTTTGACCACGTCACAAAAATCGTGTCAATATATTTCTTACCTTTCAAATTGCTCGGTACAATCTTTTCTGTAGTGTTGTATGCCCCTGACTCAATAAAGCATTTCTCATTTCAACTACGAAACATACGTTATACCTACGTTCCGTAACTTCCAAGAAGGTGGAGAACAATGTTCATCTTAGCAAGAACAATCAAAATGGCAACCAGGGTTACTATTGATTTATAGCCATTAAAGGAATGTCTTATCCGCGAAATGACTACACACTCGTAGTCTATGATTGATAGCAGTGCCATGTCATAGCAGCTGCTGTGTACAGCATTAAACAGCCTCTGTCATACAAGTAGTCCGCTTGTTGAACAAATATATTCAGCAGCGTGACATTGATCAGCCAAAGCTTGAAATAAAACGGGCGTTTTCCATCAACGTCGGGCCCGCACGCCCGCGATAATACCGCGTGTCATGCATGCCACAATTTTTTACATTGCTCGCTCAAACCGCACCCCAAAATAATATTGGAGGCGTAAACAAGCAAACAAAATGGGCCAGTCACGGGAGCTGTGGCTGTTGATGTGTCGATACTTTTGCTATCGATGTATAATGCTTACGAAGTAGATGTCGTTTTGTCACGATTTATAAAGATATTTTTTTCGTTAGGCAAGTATACTGTGGAAATCCTACATTTTAAGAATACGATTCTGAAGCTGCTGGAGTGTTCTGATTCCGTCTGAGGTACTAATATGTTAGAGTATAGGTACCTACTCAGTCTAGTTACTGGTAAATTCAACACCGAATGGCTATATTTGTGATGTATTTCAGTGACCTGAAAAGGGTCGGTCACTCCACTGTTAAGTCTCCACTGTAAAAGGACGACTCTCTCATTTACCAGAGACAAATGGAGGACCTTTACAAATAAAGTCGTTTTTGGATTCTCTATTCGAGATTATCAAACGACATCGATAGTTGCCGATGGACAACACTACTCTTAGCAGCAGTTGTTTGAAACGCCTAACAACTGCTAGGTGGCGTGTCGATCGCAGCTGGAGCCTTTCATATTTAACTAAGTGTGAACATAATTGCGGAGGGTGGTACACTCGGCTCGACAATTACGTCACATGCAGCCGACTGTATTAGGAGCGCATAGCAACTCTGTAGTCGTACGCTTAGTTGGGGAATGCTTGTTTTATTTTAGAGCACTTTTTAGGCATGTAGAACTAAAATATGCCTTCATATAAGTGTCATTTAACAGCGGATTACTTGATTCAATCGCAGAGCGGGAATTTGCGTCGTATTTAGACGTTGATTCACTCTGGCATGCATTTTAGCGCGGTCGGTGATGCGTGATTTGCCACTTAAAAAAGTTTTCTAAGGATCAACCTATTAATCTATTGGGTGTATAAGGGATAAACTACGTTTTTTCCACCGATTCTGACCACCCTATTATTGTATAAGTTGGTTTTATAAGGGTATTGACACGTGCCCTTATCTTCGTGAATCTTGTACGAGCGTAGAAATCCTGAATGCGTAGGTACTATAATACACGACTAGTGATGCTTTACAAAGCGTGTGCTTCAGCGATCGTTTTGTAACACACGTGTATTAAGCTCGAGTTAGGCTTCTCCTAAAGTTCACAAAAGCTTTTTCCAAACGGAAGCTTTACGTTTTAGTTGGACTGTACCCGCAGATGCGAGGGTCGCGGGCGTTTCGTTTCGCGCCACAGCGTCAGATCACCGATAAGACCTTAATATCGATGGCGATAAGCAGGTGGACGTGTTGTTTTGGTAATCACTGTGCAATTAGCGCACGGACCGGTGTGCTACTGTTGCTGGTAGAGGCGAAGGTTGCTTGAAAGATTTTCCCACAAGACAAAGCTGCTTTGTATTTTATGAATAGGTAGTGTTACGACAACCCTCTGGATAAACGGGACTATTCCCACCTCTCCGTCCCACCACTGCAACTCCTGTGTAGCCAGGATCTACAGCTTGACCGCCATAAAAACCCAACCAATGAAGGTCAAGTTTGTCCCGGGGGAAAGCTAGATGGCTCGCTCACTGGACACTCCATTATGTTGGGACGTCCACCCATATAAGGTTGAAAGCGATGACTTTAAAAAGGTTGCAGGAAAGCATTCCAGTCTCCTCCTACCAAACGGCCAATCTGGAAATCAAGGTAGACAGATGACCTTAGAAAGGCTTGGAAATAATTGCGAGAGGCATATGTCCAGCAGTGGGCTTCCTGAAATAATTATGACACTGAATGTAAACTCAGGAATATTCCTAATATTTAACCAATCAGAGGCCTAAATCTGCGCCATCTATGTTTATAATTTCATTCCCGTAATATTAACAAGTCTATCCCTTACCAAGTCATTAAAGCATAAGCTATGCATAATTTACTTAAGGTTACGTACATTTTAATCATTGTCAAACAACATAATCACACATTAATTTCTTTCCAGCGGTGAGCGCGAACAAAATAGCGAAGCGAACGGAGCTCGCGCCGAACAAAGGCGGCCCGTTCGCGGCTGCTCTGCGAACGCTCGCCAAGAACGCGGGGCCCGACGCCAAGGACGGTGAGTGCTTACTGCGCTGCTGCCTCAAGCTCTGCTGGTGGAACACGCAACTACCCTCATTTCCCAATCATTTATATAACGCCCTTGAGAGAAACCTTGTAAACTTTCAAGTCATGTTGAAATTTTTGCGTTTTCCACCACCAAAGTTATCCCTTTTCATTTTTTATTTTCGTTCCTAAAGCGATTTATATTCGGGCCAACACTTGTTGGGTTTCGTATTAGTCCATACTGTTTTCATTACTGCTAGGAATACCTTTGATTACTTACTCGATTATTTGCATATCATTGTGATGGTTGACCAAAGTGTTTCAGTCACTTTAGTCAATCTTTTAGCTTTTGTAAAATGTTTGTTATCTTTATATTTATTAAGCTTTGTGCATATTTGCAATTAGTTCTGTATTTGTGTAACCATAATCTTTTTGTTTTTAAGAGTCGCTTCGATCCGGCTCAAAGGACCAATTTTCCTATTTATATGACTAAATAATATATTAAAGGTGATCCGTTTGCTCGTTTGCCTCCTATCACATAAAAAAAAAAAAAAATTCTTTAAATATTTTAGTATTAGTACTTGAATGTAATTTTGTGCTAAAGTATTAATATTTTGAATGATATGCACCCAGAAAGGTCACCATGAATCAAGGATCGCTCATTTTCATATTCTTATCCTAAATTACTATCATCTAATGTAGTGTCGCAACTGGTTGATTTTTGGTCATTTTGAAACTGATTAAAATTCCCAAAAATCATCCATTATATCCGATTATCAATTAATATAAAAAATCGTAATAAGCACTGACTTGTTGCTAAAATTTAAAAAAAAACCAAGTCAGACTATAATCTTGATTGATCCTGTTCAAAAAGCCTTAAAATCCTATTCAAAAAAGCTTGAAGGATCTTTTGAAAAAGTGAAAAGAATCATCCTTCATAACAATATTATTCTGCCACAAATAATCATCAATCCTACTTAAAAATCCGGCTCGAAGGACCAACCGTCCTCGACCCTTCTCGTAGCAATATTATTCCGCCACAAATAATCATCAATCCTACTTAAAAATCCGGCTCGAAGGACCATTTAGTAAGGCTCGAAGGACCAACCGTCCTCGAGCCTTCCCGTAGCGGCCGTGTTCAGTGTGCGAGTGTGCAGGCGCCGCCGCCGCCGAGCCGAGCAAAGAGAAGCCGCCGCCCGCCGCCAAGCGTGCCTCGCCGCACCATCTGCCGTCCAGCGGGTTCCAGCCGTATAGACCTGATGATAGGTGAGTCATGCTCACATTATCTATACATGTAATAAATCTGTACAGAGGTCAATTCTGTACATGAAATATATTTTCAAAATAACTATCAGGGGGTGATTAGTGATCGATACTGATGCCAAAAATGCAATCAGTAAAATTTTTGTCTGTCTGTCTGTCTGTATGTTCCTTATAGAAACAAAAACTACTCGACGGATTTTAACGAAACTTGGTACAATTATTTGTACATTCATACTCCTGGGCAGGTTATAATATACATACTTAGGAATTCAACTTAAAGCTTAGTTACAACAGGATATTGCAAAATTCCCACGGGAACGGGAGTTGGCGGGAAAAAACATTTGTATGAAAAAATCTTAACCGCGTAAGATAGATGAAGGGGGTAAAACGGGATCCACGCGTACGAAGTCGCGGGCGGCCGCTAATAATAAAATATTATTAGGGTTTCACTAAAAACTTCAAACACACTCAAAAATTCTTGCCAGGCGATTGCTAACTGCTGAGCTACTTAGACATTGGGTAAACCCGACCTCTTTTTGTTTTGGTGGTAAAAATGCATTGATTTGCATACCCGCCGCTGTAGTAGCGCGACGGGTATGTGGGGCTCTCTCCTCCAGAAGGGAGGGACCTATAAACCTGACCCACCTTAAGCAATTTCAATTTCTTTAAGTTCTTAGAAGTTAACATTATATTCTTATTAATAACTAAATTCGTTCCAAGATAGCTATCCCCTCATCCTTTACTGGTTAGGTTTCATTGGAGGCCAAACTGCAGATCCTGGTTAAACAGCAGTTTGCAGTGGTGGAAAAGAGGTGGCAATAGTCCCGGAAATTTTACTCATTGAAAAATTGGAGAAGGTCGTTTTCTTGTAGTGAAGTCTAAATGACCTTAATATCATGAATAATATTTTAAAACCTTAGGCTTTCTTATTAACCAGAGGTAAAAAGGTTTTGGCGTGTTCGCATATTTTTTCCTCAGTCGCCTCTTATGACATCCACGGGAAGAGTGGGTCCTATTCAACTCTAACGGAACCATAAACAATGAATGTTTGACTATTAGAATTCTCCCCACAGCAGACAGTTTCACCAAAACATAAAATACGAATCTTTGACTAATACAACAGTTCTTCCCACAGCAGACAAGTCTCATCAAAACTTAAATAATATGGATCTTTGACTAATATACTTCTCTCCACAGCAGACTGTCGCACCCGGCGGCGGCGTCGTTTCCGCTGCTGGAGCCCACCGCCTACTCGCCCTACCACCCCAGCCTCTACTCCAGCGCAGCGCTGCAGTACAGGTAAAGCGCTTTATTTATTCATCCAATAACATAGTAAATTGTACTCTTAAAACTACTTAGGCTGGTTACTTCCACTTCTGAAGCGATAGATGGATACTGTAGAGGCTGCATGGAGACAGAAGAAACTCCACAGCATGTGCTAATCAAATGCAGGAGCGTGACAGTTCAATGAGTTGAATCAAATTATTCTAAATTTGCATGTCCAACTTGACCAGGCTAGAAAACTCCGTTTCCGAGCTTGCCGAAGGTACGGGTTATGATTGTAACAATCTATGTGGATAATTTGCATTTACTTATATTCCTCCATTGTGCTTCAACAATTTATCCGATTTTGATGAATAAGATGTCATCAATCGATTCGTTATTATGCCCTGGGTAACATAGGCTACATCCTTAGGTAAACGCACACTTACCCAAGCCGAACGAATCGAAAGAAATTATGTTATAGCCCAACTACAGCTTTTTTAGCCTTTTTATCATGTTGGTTTATTTGTCTTTGTGACTTATACTAGAGTAAATACAACTGAGTAGGTCATCTTCATAGAAACGCCCGAGCGCGGTTTGTATGTGAGCGCGCACGCATACACTGACAAAATTTAGCGTTGATTAGCGGTGAGTTGCCCCGAATTTTGTCAGTGTGTGCGTGCGCGCCGCATACGTATTGGCGCGCTCACATACAAACCGCGCTCGGTGCGTTTCTATGAAGATGACCTACTCATTTGTATTTCCTCCGCTTACTTATATCCTCTACGTTTGTCGGCCGTTTGGTGTAGTGGTTCAGAACGGACTACTATGCCGAGAGGTCCCGGGTTCGATTCCCGGCCGGGCAGAAATTGAAATGATGAATTTTAATTTCTGTGACGGGTCTGGGTGTTACTATGTATAATATGTATGTATTTAAAAAAAAAGTATATAAGTAGTATATCCGTTAAGCTAGCACCCATAACACAAGCATATTAATTGCTTACTTTGGGGCTAGATGGCGCTGTATGAGATTGTCCAAAGATATTTATTTATACCTATTTACTTTATAAGCATTTGAACTGTGGTACAAATAATGTTATTTCCCCGCAGGCTAGCGGCGGAAGAGCAGATGTACTTAGAGCGGGTGTTTCGCAGCGGCGTGGGCGTCGGCTGGCTACCGCCCTACGCGCTCTATCCGCCGTTAGCGCCGCCACTGCCGCTCGTCGGACACCACGCGCCACATGCACATGCACATGCTCACGCGGCCCATGCCCATGCGGCGCATATGCATGAACGGGAGAGAGATAGAGATGATAGGGAGAAGGAAATTGCGTTGCAAAGGGAACGGGAGAGGGAGAGAGAACGGGAACGGGAGAGGGAGAGGTAAGACTTCGTTTTAATGTCCATTTTTGCTGGCACTCGTCGCGTGTGAGCGAGAGAAAGATAGAGTCAACGGAAAGAAAGACATCGCGCTTTAGAGTGAGCAGGAGATAGCGAGAGAGAAAGGGAAAGGATGAGGAAAAGGTGAGACTTCATTTTAAGCTTTCTAGCCGTCGCTGGCGCCGCCACTGCCGCTCGTCGGACACCACGCGCCCCATGCCCATGCTCATGCACATGCGGCGCATATGCATGAACGGGAGAGGGAGAGAGAACGGGAAAGGTAAGACTTTATTTTAGCGTCCATTTTTGGTGGCGCTTGTCGCACGTGTACATGCACCAGTATGAGCGAGATAAAGGTAATAGGCAGGAGATCGCGCTACAAAAAGAGTGGAAGCCGGAGGGAACGAGAAACGTTAATTTTAATGATGATTTTGCTGAGGCGAACGTGTTACGTTATACAAATTAGAAAAAAAAAATAGAATATGGTGTATTTGCTGTTTAATTAAGTGTTGACTGTTGATGGTCGCACGCGTAAGAATAGAATAGAATAGAAAACTTTTTATTTGCAAGAAAGGTATACAAGCAGCCTAGACATAGATTCAAACAGAGAGAAATAAACAAGTGGACAACAACGTAAGAATGTAACACCTTAAAATCCCTGGTCGTAACTATTTCTTAACGTTCGCAGAGAGCGCGAGCGCGAGCAACGCGAGAAAGAGCAACGCGAGCGCGAGCGGCTCGCGCGCGAGAAAGAGACGCGCACGCGCGAAGCGCTCCGCGACGAGCAGCGAGCACTCGCCGCGCTCGCGCCGCACCTGCCGCACCCCGGCGTGTTCCTGCGCGCGCCGCTGCTGCCGCCGCCGCTGCTGTACCGGCCCTACCGGCCCTACGCGCCCTACCCGCCGCCGCCAGACCCTGCGCCGCCGCCCGTCTCCGCAGGTAGCTAGACCTCTCCGCAGCCGCCCTGCTGTACCGGCCCTACGCGCCCTACCCGCCGCCGCCAGACCCTGCGCCGCCGCCCGTCTCCGCAGGTAGCTAGACCTCTCCGCAGGTAGCTAGACCTCTCCGCAGGTAGCTAGACCTCTCCGCAGCCCGTCTCCGCAGGTAGCTAGACCTCTCCGCCGCCCGTCTCCGCAGGTAGCTAGACCTCTCCACAGCCCGTCTCCGCAGGTAGCTAGACCTCCCACAGCCGCCCTGCTCTACCGGCCCTACCGGCCCTACGCGCCCTACGAGCCGCGCGCGCGAGAACACCGGCGGCTCCCTTGATGATCCTCCGGAGCCTGCGATGAGCTCTCGACATTCTGGGAGTGGGTATTCAATGCGAAAAAACGCTTAACGGTTGGAATGTGCAGGTGTCAAAACCTGAATGGCTCTCGACAGCCGCCCCTGCTGTACCGGCCCTACGCGCCTTACTCTACATCAGTCCTTGATGACTGGTCTTGAACTTTGGTGGCTGAACTTAGACGTTGATGCTCGGACCTAGCATTTGGTAGCTGGTCCTGGGCTTTGTTGGACGGTTAAGAACCGGGCCTAGCACTTTACGGCTTTACGGTTGAAAAACCCACGAGAAACTAGCAAACCATTACTAGTCCCTTCCCTCTCATATTAAACTGCGTTATAGTATGATAACAACTATAAAAAATATGAAAAACAAATTGGTCACAAGTTGTTGTTATAAATTGAAAGTGATTGTAATATTTAATTTCATAAAAGAGATTGCCAATGATGTCCACCCACAAAATTATATTAAAGCATCTCTCTTAAAATCACAAGCTCCGCCCACTATCTACACAGACAACAAAATTAAATGAAACTTAGAAGTGGGGATGGCTGAAAACCAGCGCCGTCTAGGGCGAGTAGTCCTTGGCAGCACAAGCTGAGCCACCTCCAGTTGCTTCCAACTTTTTATTACAAGTTTTCTTTTGTAATTCCTTTTTTGTAAAGCAATAAACGATTTTTTATTCATATAATGTACTCTTTCTCAGAGATAAAATAAACGCATGTGTTGCTCTGTAAAATAAAAGATTTATTCAATATTAATACATTTCTCATAGAAATAAACTAACTTCCCTATTCATTGGCTATAACACAAACCTGTAAAATAAAAGAAACGACATTTAAAGTTTATTATTATCTCTTAAAATATCTTCATATTTTCCACATAGACTTTTCACTGTGACATTCATTTAATAGACGTCAAAGTCATAGACAAACCATAGACCTTAAAGTAAAAAGTTTACTTTACATCTCCCCCCTTCGAAAAGGAAATTTACAGAAGTAAATTTTCTTTCAAGTCAGTTCTCTTTAATCTTCTGTTTCTTCATCTTCTGGAGGTCATTTATTTAATCGTCGTCAGCACCGCCTGTTCTGTGCCCCCGATGGCCTGCGCACACTGCATGCTAACAACACACCGACTCCCAGGGCACTCTGTCTTTTAAACATGTTTACGCAAACCGTCCCAAGACGTCGACATCTTTGCCAACTCCTTAGAGTGTTTTGTAAAAAAATTAAGATTGTATTTGTCTACTAACCATAAATAGATATAAGTACTTACTAACATTAAATGTAATTTCAAATTGGCAATGTGAGCGCTTTGGATATAAATATGTAAGCTCACTTGCATTTTAATTAAATAAATAAATAAATGAATCCTTTCTCGCCCACAGCGTCCACGCCGGCGTCGACGCCGCCGCAGCCTGCCGAGCGGCCAGCAGGTGACCTGCCGGCCTGACGCGGCCCGCCGCCGCCCCGCTGACATATCAATGCGCTCGCTAGCGCCGCGCACAGTGCCCGGACAACTGGCCGAGCGGTCACGTGCTACGTCCGATAATACGACATATTTCACTATTGCCCTTAGGGTTGCCAGGTCCAAAAACAAAAGCCGGACTCTGTGCTTTATTTGGTCGGACATTTTACCCTAAAAGCCGGACATGTGACCGGGGGGGGGAGGGTGCAATTAGTGAGCTCGCGAGTGAGTACTATCTATCATCATCGGTTGCCTAACGTCCTGATGCGTGCGTGCCTTATTCTGTGGCTCGACTTTCGCCTGGCGCGGACACGCAATCAAAAAGCCTAACTATGTCCTGCTTTATCCGGACGCCTGGCAACCCTAATTGCCCTTCAAGTTCAAGCGAATTGAGACGCAATAGAAGTATTACTCCGGTCTCATGCGACCGTTTAGGCTGGTTTTAGAATCGCGCTGATCGTCGGCGCTGGCGGATTAATGCACTCGCAAGCGCCGCGCACAGTGCCCGGACAACTGGCCGAGCGGTCACGTGCTACGTCCGATAATACGACATATTTCACTATTGCCCTTCAAGTACCAGCGAATTGAGACGCAATATAGTCTAGTCCGTGAGCACGTAGAATTTTGTCCAATGACCCCAAGCTACCCATCCTTATCGCTCGCGCGTAATTATGTTGCTCGCACACTCACTGCGGGCGCCCGTCGCACAGTCGCGACAGCAATATAATTACGCGCGAGCGATAAGGATGGGTAGCTAGGGGTCATTGGACAAAATTCTACGTGCTCACGGACCGGGCTTTAGAAGTATTACTCCGGTCTCATGCGACCGCTTAGGCTGATTTTAGAATCGCGCTGACCGCTCGCTGATCGTCGGCGCTGACAGATCAATGCGCTCGCTAGCGCCGCGCACAGTGCCCGGACCGGCCGAGCGGTTGCGTGCTACGTCCGATAATACGACAAATTTACGTGCTACGTCCGATAATACGACAAAAGACAATGCCGGAAATTGGCGTCGTTTTTTTTCGCGCGGCCATCGACCAAACCATGTTTTTTGGATACAAAATAGTGTGATAAACCAAACTTACTATGACATGTTATACCTCTAAACTCAGTCTGAACTGAGTTACGAGCATTAGAAGTTTCATGATTTTACATACTAGATTTGCTTTCTGCGCGCAAGTTTTGTAAGAAATTGCAACAAAGTAGTGCCATTTTATGTGTAAACAAACAATACCATCCATTAAAGGCTCCAGCCTTCAGTGTGGAGCAGAATCAGCGCAATAAAAAAAGACCTCACTATTTTGTTGCAATTTCTTACAAAACTTGCGCGCAAAAAGCAAATCTAGTATGTAAATCATCAAACTTCTAACGCTCGTAACTCAGTTCAGACTGAGTTTAGAGGTATACATGTCATAGTAAGTTTGGTTTATTACACTATTTTTTAATCAAAGAACAAAGCTTGGTCGAGGGCCGCGCGAAAAAAAAAAGATGCCACCTTCCATACAAAATCTGGCATTGCCATTTGACTATTGCCCTTCAAGTACAAGCGAATTGAGACGCAATAGAAGTATTACTCCGGTCTCATGCGACCGCTTAGGCTGGTTTTAGAATCGCGCTGACCGCTCGCTGATCGTCGGCGCTGACAGATCAATGCGCTCGCAAGCGCCGCGCACAGTGCCCGGACCGGCCGAGCGGTCACGTGCTACGTCCGATAATACGACATATTTCACTATTGCCCTTCAAGTACCAGCGAATTGAGACGCAATATAGTCTAGTCCGTGAGCACGTAGAATTTTGTCCAATGACCCCAAGCTACCCATCCTTATCGCTCGCGCGTAATTATGTTGCTATCGCGCTCGCACACTCACTGCGGGCGCCCGTCGCACAGTCGCGACAGCAACATAATTACGCGCGAGCGATAAGGATGGGTAGCTTGGGGTCATTGGACGGGATTCTACGTGCTCACGGACCAGGCTTTACATAGCCCACTATCATACAGGGTGTCCCAGAATGAATGAACCAAACTACTATGGGAAGTAGCTTGACATGACCTACCCCTAAAAATATCAAATAAAATATAACGGCTGTATACGACTACTTGATATTTCCCGTTTCGTAGAAGTTTGTCCTTCACCTAGGACATCTGGTAACTGGAGAAATTGGATGACGGAAATCAGATCTAGAACATAAACTACCACATATAGTTCTATGATGGCTAACCATACCGTATTTTCGTGGATCGGAAACAGATCGGGCGTAGTGCGTAACCGCTCGTTGCCATTCGTGTTTTGTACTGTGCTGAGACGCGCCCGTGTGACGGACAGATGATGGCGTTAACCAATAATTTTAAGGCATAACTTTTCAACCAATCAATCAATAATGAGCTAATACAAAATATTCTTAAAATACTTCTTAAAGAAAATAAATTTATTCTGCTTGTATAGATTATTGAAAACTTAAAATACATAATCTCCTTTTTGAGAGATTACGTTTTGGAATCATTGATAAATGACATCAACTACCCAATCACACTTCGTTGTGAATCTTCAATCAAAAATGGATTCAGATGTTGAATCTCATTTTGAAGGTCGATTCAGCCGGGCCCAGTCCATCTAAGCTTAAATATTTATAAATAAATCAATGGAAAATATTTTTTAATATTTCAGTAATAATTGTACCTCAAACGTCACCGAGCGAATTGATATGTCACCGTTCCTAATATGACTAAGTCATAGAACCAATGTATCACGTTAAAACGACATCTGTGTGTTTTTAAATAAGTGTTACATAACAGATCAAGACTTTCTGTGGCCCTGTCAAAACCAATCAATTGTCGCCTTTTGTAATAAGAAGACTATCCACCGTATATCGTATTAATTTACATAGGGTGTACAACAAAATTGCATATAAACTAGCCAAAAATCTCCTCAATTAATGTTGAACTTTATTTTGTTGTCGCTATGGCGGGACATGCACCTATTATAATGTGCAATAAATGTTACAATGACTTCGCATGACGTTTCGTTAAGAGTTGGCACGATTAATAATAAGTTTTCACGTAATAATTATTACGAATCAATAAACTGGAATTGCTGACTCTTCTGTGACACGTTTTGTTAAAATGTGAAACTTTAACAGAGGTTTTAGAGTTATTTTTCAAATTATCCCAAATAAATCATTTTTTAATAGATACTCAATCTTACCAACCTGTATATAAGTTCTATAATTGCCATACTCCATGCCAACTCTTATGAAACTAATCGCGATGTCATTTAGAACTAAAATCGCGTGAACAACGCGAAGTATCAACGACGATACTACCTCATACAATTTGGACATATTCCAAAGAATTTGATTTAAAATCTTTCAATTTGAAAGCAATATTTTTCAAAAAGATTTTTTGAATCGATCGTTTTTCGATTAAGACTTTCTTATCGCCAACTTCACAGACAGCCTTAAATTAAATTAAGAACTTGCTCATTTATTAATAAACGTATACACCACTGCATTTTTATCGCCGAAAAAGTTAATTTTTTAAAATTTCTTTAGTCCGTATTTTACGCGTCACAGCTGGGGCACTCCGCTGTCGCTAGAGTAGTCGTACGCGCTCGCATATTGCCCCGATCTGTCTGTCTCGCTCACGCCTCGACCACGCTTCCAGTGTTATTATTACATACTTAGCTAACTTCAAGTAATTTTGAGTTCTAATAAATGTTACATTATCTTACATAAATAGTACTAGCGACGCGTATGTCCATAAATTACCAATTTTGGGATGAAATTTTGAGTAACTTTATTTGACTTTTTTTTGCATAAATAGGATCAGTATCAATAACTCATTACCCAGAATTTTTTTTCGGTGATAAAATTGCTATAAGAAAAAAATCACTGCCAAATGTCATTTGACTATTCGCACAGACATGAAAGTAACGTTTATTAGTAAAATGACAACTGCATGACGAAACAAAGACTTTGTCACGATCGTGAGCGCGGCCTGAACTTAATTAATTATTAATTAATCTTTTTTAAAGCACGAGCAGTCTTGACGATATCTTTTGAGTCGCACAGGTGTCTTTGACCCTTTAATCGAAAGGATATTTGTATTTCATATCAAAGAGTTCAAAATGAGATGGCCACAATAAATTCTAACGCCCGCGCGCCCGTATTCACAAACTATGCTTGCTTAAGTGAAGCAGCAAATCGAACGAACAGCGTTGAATAGAGCTACGTGTTTGTTTTTATGTCACCCTGTGCACAGGCACTGTGAGATCTCATAGTAATGTTTGTGAATACGGGCGTAAGATCATCAGAAAAGAGGTTTGAAAGTTTGAAGTTATTTTGGGTGGATTTAGTCTTGAAAAACTTATCCGATGGCGACTGATAGTAAATTTTGAGACACAATCTCTCAGTGCGACCAAAACTATAAGGAATGTAACAAAATGGAATTACAGGAATAATTAAGAGATAAAATTACATAACTATAGATTTATTTGGCAAATGGTGACAGCATGAAGGTAGTTGTGGTCGCATTGTAAATGTAAGTCGACAGTATTGCCGTCCTTTTCATACAGCAAATGTTGGAAAAGGATGACAGATCGATTTGCAGTTTGAGAATGTATCTCATTGTTCATAAAGCTGTGTTCATTATGACATTAACGGAAATTTTGGCTTAGTACAAATAAAGCAGTATAGTTAGCCTGAGAAACGCCTATAAATATTTAAATTAAAACAGTTCTAACGCTTTCGTCACTGTATCGTTGTAAAATAGTTTAATTTTAAGTAGAAGTACAGTGAATACAATAACACACTATGCTTAGTTCTCACAAGTAAGCCAAAGTTTCCAATGTACTATGCTATTTCTGTCTCTCTCAGGCGCCGTATATTAGACAGAGAAGGGCACGTTTAATATAAACAATCGACTGTAATGTTCCTACTGTATTCTTATATGTTTTGTGAACACAGTACAAAGGTGGCAGTAAGTCACTTTGTTGATTTTATCTGCTTACTCGACTGAATCTGTGCAATATAACCCTGTTATATTTGTATTATTCTTGTTATGTTTATTGTTATCTCGGTTACTTCTCTCTGTTTTTGTTTAATGTAAATATCATGTATTTACGAATCTATTATACTGTCAATTGCTACGAACTTCTACAAATTAGTAACAAATATATTAGTTAATATTCACTAATTGGTGAACAGTTATAAACCTCAAGTTTTTATAAAGCATTCCAAATCTCCAGCAAATGTTTTCGAATCTCAACACTGTCTGGTATTATTATACCGCATTAAATTGGCATAAAAAGTGACCACAGATTCGTGTAGACTTAAAACTTGGGGACGACTTACTGAGCACCTTTGTACTGTGTCGGTGCACACCCAACGAACACCAAATGTAGCGTTACTGTACTGTACCGATCAAAACGGAGGGTTTCATCTGCCTGGTGCAGACGTTTAGATAGGTCACGCTGATATTTAATGAAAATATATAAATTTAGGTGTAAAAATGCACTTTCGATTGGGGAAACTGCTTAATCAGATGTTTCGTCAGTCGATTGTGGAGATCGCCGGGACTCGCCAGCTTGGGACAGCGGTAAACAACATTACAGCAACGTGTATGACCATGTAGCTCCCATACACTAACTTTTGAATGGAAAAGTAACTGTGTCACGTTCTATAAGCCAGGAGAAACCTAATTTTGGATTAAATCTCATTCTATAGCATACCACTTTGTTTGAAGATTATATAAAGTGATGATTAGTGCAGAGTTGGGCTAATTCGGTGTAAGTATGATAGCAATATTTGGCCATACAAGTTGCTGCAGTGTTTGTTGTACGAGCCACAGGCGGCGGCAGTATTGCCCGAGCGGTCGCATATTCGAACATGTGTATAAAATCCAAATTTTATAACAAAAAAACCTCTATACGTTAACTTAGATAGTATAGTTATTATTAATTTCTAGCTTCTAATAGGTGTTCAATATTTTTCATGTTTTTCATTTGTTTCTGATTCGCGAGCAGCATTTAAACGGAAGTGTCAGTGTAAATATTATATTTAATAGTTAGATGAGATATGGACAATACCTAACAAGTGAAAGGAAAATGATGATTTTGTTGAAATACATTCAATGGAATTCATTTTGCATGCGGCCGGCGGGTCGGTTTTTTTATTTTATGTTTACCCCTCCCCCCACGCTTCAGCTAGCTGTAGTTAGCGTTTGTGTACGTGTGGCATTTCAGAATAGATGCAGGAGGAGAATGTGTTCGGTCGACAAGACAACTTTATAATAAGCACTTTATAAAATGCTCTCTTCTAAAGTCTGGTCCGTGAGCACGTAGAATTTTGTCCAATGATCCCAAGCTACCCATCCTTATTGCTCGCGTGTAATAATGTTGCTATCGCGCTCGCACACTCACTGCGGGTGCCAGTCGCACATTCGCGACAGCAATATAATTACGCGCGAGCGATAGATGGGTAGCTAGGGGTCATTGGACAAAATTCTACGTGCTCACGGACCGGGCTTTAGAGACTGCTGGTATGGTAAACAGATGTTAGGTAAATCAGTTCGTTATTTTATATCTTTCGTAGCGAGTGAAAACCTTATCTCGATTTTTGCTTCTATTACAAATAGATTTTCCTATCTATTCAGTACCTAATTTAGGTTAAAATTTTTGAAAAAACAGACGAGGTTTTCCTTCGTTACCGAAGGTATAAAGCAAATAGATTAGATTCTTATAATTTTCGGATCTATCTTATCAAAACTCTATCGACTCTCACAAATAGTTGCCTGGTCAAAACATACCGGCATTTTATTGCAAATCTCTATGAGACAACACTGAATGCATTGTAGATTATTTTTATACTTCAGTCAAGTTTCTTCAAGTGAAATAATACCTATGCAATGAAACGAAAGTAATTCAGTAGTCGAAACCAAAAGATATATTTGTTTCTCTTTTTTATTTTCTCATGAGAGAAATGGTGAAATAGTTTGAGCTATTGTAGTATTTTTAGTTTAGTCAAAACCAGAGATATTTTGATATCCAAGAAGCTTTAAATTTCAATATTTTTATAGAATTAAATATTCAGAAAACAAAAAGGACAAACAAACTCATTAGCCATGCTTAGATTACCTCACTACACCACAGATTTGGATCAAAATCTGTACATTACACTTTTTAGGTTTAAGCCTTGCAGGAGTAACCTGCCCCTTCTGTGAGGGACATGTTACACGAGGGAAGATATAAAGTCTATTCTAGTTTCGATCGCCTAGGTGACCACATTATGTAACTAATATTGCCCAGAGGCGCCGACAGTCTCTTTGAACGCATAACCGGGTTCGATTCCCTGTTGTATCAACATAGGAGAAAGAAAAAGCAAGTAAAGAAGTCCCATTTCAAAAAAAAAATAGCTAAGGTGCACACTGCACACATAGGAGAAAGAAAAAGCAAGTAGTCCTTAAAAAAAAAAAGGTAAGTTGTGGTGCACACTGGACACGCGTAGAGACTCATTTGAAGGAGACCTTCAGAGACTAAAAAATCCAAAATAGAAACTTTTTCAAAGTAGCCACTCAAAAGTCTATGACAATTCTGTCAGTGTCACACACCAAAACACAATCCTCAAAAACCACAACAAAAGGCATGCCTTCGAATGGCTAGACCAATCCCGGACATCAATTTACGCGACATCTCAAAGCAAGAGGACATCAAGCCCCGAGAGAGCAGATCCTACTTCGACCTGACCTTAGACAGAATCACAAATAATAGATCCAGCAGGAACCTCGTCTTTGGGACGTTAAGCGGATGGGTGGCCGGGGTTTCGGTCATCAGAGTGGGAAAAGTAGCAGCCTTTGGGCTAGGAGGAGGCGTGATTCTGCTGCATTTCGCCAGCGAGCTGGGTTACATCAATGTGAACTGGGACAGAGTGAGAGAAGCCGCGGGACAGAGCCAGGCCTGGGTGGACAGGGTCATGCAATTCGTGAAGAAGAATAGCTGCTTCTCTGTAGGCTTTGTGGGCGGATTCTTCTTTGGCATCGCATCTACGTGATAAGTTACTTTATCAACAAATAAATATATCAGCGTAAGATAATGTTGAAGTTAATATAGTGGCAATTTTACTGTAACATTGAAGTATTATTCCAACTTGACTAGCTAGCTAGCCTAATCAGTTATAGAAAATACCATGATTGATTGACAGTGAGAAAATAATATGAAACTACTACACATACCTGCCTAATTTTGATGCCCGGTCATTGTGGAAATGCTTGGCGGAGGCCTTTGTCCAGCAGTGGACGTCATTTGGCAGAAACGAACGAACACAATACATATTTTAGGATAGATAACATACTTTCCTGTTAGCTACTTGTAATTTGTAGAAAAAATTCAATCTATTTAGAGTCAGACAGAGACATAAAACTTAAGGAGAATTACGTTAGACCGACTACATAATACCTACCTACATAAATAATAATAATAATTTATTTGGTGTAAAGCCTGGTCCGTGAGCACGTAGAATCCCGTCCAATGACCCCAAGCTGCCCATCCTTGTCGCTCGCACGTAATTATGTTGCTGTCGCGCTCGCACACTCACTGCGGGCGCGCGTCGCACAGTCGCGACAGCAATATAATTACGCGCGAGCGATAAGGATGGGTAGCTTGGGGTCATTGGACGGGATTCTACGTGCTCACGGACCAGGCTTTAGTAAATCTTATGAAAATTTTGCTGGGGTAATGCACACAAGGTACACGATACAATGGAAAAAACTATGACTCCTGCAGAAGTTTATAATTGTGTCGCAGGGATAAAATTATAATAGTAGACACTTTGGAACTGAAGATTAAGAAGCTGCAGGACCCAGATACCTTGGCACTTGGATCGGAGAACTTTGTTGGTTGAATGGGATGAGTATGAAATCGTAAGTATTGAATAAGACAAAAGGCAAAAACATGAAATCACATTCGTTTAGTGTCAGGTTCGATCCCTGTACTAAATGCTTAAAATCTTATTTTATTTTAATCTATCAAGTAATTAAATGGGAAAATGATTTTTTGCTATTTTTCACTATTGTAACAGGTCTGTCTGAATTCCTTTATCAAGTAATAGATAAAACGAAACAAAATGATAAGATAAAACAATTTCCTAATAAGTTGGAACAACATCTACCTATTGGTGGATCTTGTTATTTTATGATTTCGATAATCGACCCGAAATACCTAATTAGCTTATTTAAGTTATCAAGAAAGATAATAAAAGTCAAAAGGTAGTCAAGTGTAGGTAATTTAATAACTATGTTCCTTTCAATATTTCCTATAGATAAACAGAACTACTATTATGATGAATGATTGAAAATACCTAGTTGACATTGAAATTATCAATGGTGCAGTCATAATGTTCGGTGGTTATAAAAAAAATGCCTTTTGAGGATTCGAAGCAGGGCTATTGCTTCGATGCAATAGCCCATAACTAACCACCTGCTAGATAACTCAAGTTTAGGGGACACAATCTATATTCTTCTATTCTACTGAAAATTTCAATACATAGGTAGGTTCTACTTAGTAACTAAGCAAGTACGAAGAACACGTCATATAAAAAAATCCTTTTACACGTCCATTTTAAGTTCTAGCACAGATTAATATTAAGCGTTCTATAGTCTGGTCCGGGAGCACGTAGAATTTTGTCCAATGACCCCAAGCTACCCATCCTTATCGCTCGCGCGTAATAATGTTGCTCTCGCGCTCGCACACTCACTGCGGGCGCCCGTCCCACTGTCGCGTCAGCAACATAATTACGCGCGAGCGATAAAGATGGGTAGCTTGGGGTCATTGGACAAAATTCTACGTGCTCCCGGACCAGACTATAGTCTCACTTTACATCCAACCAGAAAACAATGCCTAGATCTAGCAACCAGAAAACAATGCCGATTCTAAAAATATGCCTATGTTTTCAGAATATCTCTGGTACCGTAAGTAATTTTATGTTAAAAGTTAAAACGTAACAAAATTGTAGTTAGCACCACCCATAAGCATGATAGTGTAAAAGCTTTTATATGCTTACGCTCTGCTTCAAATTATTATTTGCTACCCCGTTTAGATTTTAATTATTAAAAATAATATTATCACTGACGCTACGTACCTAATTATTTGAAATAACAATGTGACATGTTCGAATATTTTCAGAGAGGGATCTAATTAATTAAATTAGAGAGAACCTTATCAGAAAGAATAACTTAAACATGTTTTTTTAATTCACTCCTTTTGTGTCCACAGCTAGACCGAGCATCCCGGTCGCAGCACTGACGACGCCCGTGCCGGAGCCGGAGCGACCGCCCCTGCCCGCAGAGCCCGTCCTCCCCATCCCCAAACCAACAGAACCCTTCAAAGTTTCAACAGAACCATTTAAAGTTTCAACAGAACCCTTCAAAGTTTCAACAGAACCCTTTAAAGTTTCATCAGAACCTTTCAAAGTTTCAGAAGAGCCCAATATTTTTCTCGAAAAGCCATCTTTTTTACCCGCACCTAAACCAATACTGCATTCCCCAAAAATATCACCGTCCTCGATCCCGAATCCTAGCCCCAGCGTGACGACTACCAGCAAGCCAGTGGAGCCTTACCCTAACTTTGGAAGCTACCTCTACAACATCCCGGGGTATTCCGCCTTCCAGCCAGTGTCCTATCCTGGCATTGTCCAGCCCAATCAGGCACCATTACAGCTGGCACCACCTGAACCGCCACCAACTGACTTCGTGCCATTCCCCACAATAGCAGCCAAGGAAGCACCACCACCACCATCAATCGAGGAAAAAAACATAGTGGAAGTTAAACCTGCTAATGAACCTCCACGGAATCCCACACCAGTAGAAACACCGAAGGCTCAGACTGATTTCGAAGACCATTTCACTCCTGAAATCATCCCAGCTTCGTCCATGTCAATAGATACTGGTCAATCTTCGGAGTGCAAGATGAGCATAACATCTCTAACGCAAGGATCAGGGGCTACGGTGACGATTCCTTCACAAGTTACGAGCAAAGAATCTAAAATTAAACCGGCTGAAAGGTTTAGTTTAAAAACTAGCATTCCTATCAGCAAAATAGATTTAAAATGTGTCAGCACACCTTCAGATACAGTATTACAAAATCCTATTACCAAAAAAATGGCTGCGAGTCAACAGTATCATAGTCAAAAGTCTGACAATGGACCAAGAGTTGAAATTCAAAGTAACATAGTCATTAAATCGGCAAAAGAGCCTGAACCAGTAGAGCCGAAACCTCCTAATAATAGTATAAGTACGTTGATCAATGCGGCGGAGGCTATACATAAATCCGAAATTCAATTTCGGAAGCCTGATATAAATCCTATTGATATGACAAATGATGCGAAAGACACCTCTCCGCAGTTTACACCTCAACCCACGAACCTGATGACGAGGCCAATATTTAATTCTGTCAACGTTGACAGTAATAAGGTAAACTATTCAAATAAACCACCCGACTTATCGTTCAACGAACAGAAGAATCAAATTGTGTTCATACAAAATAAGAATCCTACAAATCCTAAGATGCTGTTAACGATACAGCAACCGAACCCTCAGGTTTTACTACAGAGAACTAATTTCGAGTCAAAAAACCTGCAAGCTCCTTCACGATTGTCAAGCCAAAGTAAAAAGTGCAAAGAAGAGCTCGTCAGCGAGAATGGATCGTCTTCGAAGGTCGTAGCCCTGAAGAGACTCCATCAGGAGAACTGTGACGAGAATGACTTTGAGAACTTGATTACCGAAAATCAAATTTACGGTAACAAGATAGTCGTGAAGGAGAAATCGCAGGGAACACAGCAGGAGCAAGATTTGAAAAATAAAGTAAGATTAGAAAAACCTATTCAGAATGAGACCAAAAATGTAGTTCTGCAACCTGTTGTGCAACAAAATTTTGTATATTTGAGCAACGTCCAGTTTCCAACAAACTTGATGATGATAAAAAGTAACAACACTAAAGTCTCACAAGGAACTGATACTAACACTACGAGTATCAAACCAAACAAGATCTCGCCCAATGAAAATAAAAATATCGAATTCATCCAACCAGCAAAGAAAAGTATTAATAATGCAAATAATAAAGTAAAATCAGTCAAACCTCAAAATGCTGCAGTTAACAAAGATATTCACGTATTAAAATCCAGTAACAATGTTATGCAGACTCCAATTTCAAATAAAAATACTAAATCAGACATTACGATAATTGAAACCAACAATCAAAATATTAATTTGAATCCACAATTAATATACGATTTGCCAGTGATAGTAGATGCTGATATTCAATTGGATCAACCTAACTACGATATTCAAATAGAAACCGAATTTCCTAAGTTTGTCGCTAACCAAAATATGAATGAATTGGTTCAGACCGTCGAGCCACCCGAGTCAAATGATAAACTGTTTATCGCTTGCCCGTACCAGATGGATTCGAATTTACAACCAACTATCGTGATCACAAACGTCCGGCCTCCGACAGAAACTGTAAGCGTTAAGGTAGACGAATTAAGTTCTTTAGATATTTACGAAAAACGTAGACGGTTGAGGCGACTGAAATATTTAAGCAATAGAGAAACAAATAAAGAACAAAAGACTGATGAAAAAGATAAAGAAAAAGAAAAAAAGAAAGTACAAGAAAAAACCGAGAAAAGCAATATTATAACGGCGAAAACAATGAAAGCTGAAATTTACAAGGAGCTAAAAGCCAAAGCGTGTTTAGAAGAAGAAAACAACGAAAGCGACAGTGAATACGGGGAAGAGGAATTAATGGAGTACAATGAAATCATCAAAAAGTATGGCAAACGGAAGAAAGAAGATAAAATTGGCGGTGGAAAACTGGCGTTTTTATCTGGTTTTCGACTAGCCTCAAAAGAAGCGTACAAAGGTAAAGTTATCAAAATAATGTAGGTTAATTTTTTCATAAACATAACCATGATATGAGAAAAAGAAGTCTCAAACATCATTATTTTGCAAAACTAATTTCGATTTTAAATAAAGTGTATTTAAAAAAATGTGTCTTGGAAATAGGTTAACAGTATCAGCTATCCAATTGGTAAATCTTGTTACGGTTTTAGTACCCCTACCTACCTATCTGCCACAATGATTTCTATGTGGGATATTCAATCATTGCACTGCTGTTACAGAAAAACAGATGGACAAACAAGAACGTATGCTGCGGCGGGACTCAGTAGCATCAGCGTATATAGCAGCCGGTCGGATAGACCGGCTAACGCACGAAAGCAAGAGTTCCGAGAGCCAACCAGAGTTCGCGAAGCCAGCCCCCCCTTCGAAGACGCAAGGCCCTGAAGTCGTGGAAAGCCCGGAGGAGAAGTACAAGAAAAATTGGTTCCTGTCTCAGCTGAGGCTGATGACCGTGCCTTCGCATTATAAGGAAAGTGAGTTGATATTGTAGAACGCAGTTGCGAAAATATGCTTAGATAATACGAGTACTTACCTATCTACTACGATTATGTTATGGTACCTAGGAGTATCTACATCCAGTACAACAGTTGAGAAGACTTGGTAATTTCTTTCAAAGATCAAAGATATACTTTGTTTGTCACTTATATGACATAAATAGACGCAGATATTATATCTAGTTACATTTACATAAAAATACTGTCAATTTAGCGTCTTCACAGGTTTAAAATACCCAACACAAAGGACAAAAGCATGTTAATAAGCTATATAATTGTAAAATTTCAGGATACGAACGAGTGTGGCACGAGATTTTGAAAGAGAGGAAACGACGAGATAGACCCACCGAGGATCCATCTGCTGAAGATGCAGAAGTATTTAAAAAACCGCGGCCAGTAGACTTAGACCCAAACGGACAACTCCAATTACTCACTGAAATAAAGAAATGCGTCAACGAGAATAACAACTTGATCAAGAAGCGATTAGAAGTCACTACTACAGAAAAAGAAGGAGAGAGCATAAAAGTTCTAGCCGATAAAAACTTTTCCGAGCTAAACAGGCTTTCCAAAATGGCGGATAGGAGCGTTAAAGTGTTTACTGGACAAGAGGCCAGGAAGAGAGATCTCAACCCTGGCTTCGACAGCGAGAATATCCAAATACCCCAGATCAGAATTAAGAGCAAAAACTTTGTAGATATAAACATACCTTGTATATCTAAGATAGTGTCATTAAAGTCGAGGCAGGAGAAAGATTTGGCGCAGTCATCTCAGGCGACGTCTATGGATGAGCCGCAGAGTTCGGCGGCGGGAGCAACCGAGTCCAAAGATGGGGAGGAACCAAAGACGAAGGACTTCAGCTGCCAGGCGGAGGAGCTCTGGCCGGGACTGAAGAAACTCGTGAGGAACATCAAGCAGTACGAAATAGGTAGGGTATTCAATATAATCATTAAATAAGAGACAACCATGTCCATCTATCTAGATAAAGTAGGTAGGTACATTCACAATCCCTTCACGAATCTAATCAGCAGGTAGTTATAACAAAAAAATCAAAAGCATTTTCGTAATGAAAACTGCTACGAGTTAGTGAACTAAGTTACCTCTATTAATAAATCCACAACTTCTATAAATATTTAAGAGGATAACGATTCCACGAACGTCCAACGCTTATCGTAATAGTTATAGGATTTGGTATTGTATTTTGTAGTTTGGTAAGGTGTTGTCCGGTATAATTCGAATACGATTACATGATTCAAGTGGGAACAAGTACAACGGTACAACATAAAATCACATAATAACGCATACATTAAAAAAAAAATTACAAGCTTGACTTACCAGGATCAATTCATTTTGCTGCGTCCTTCTGTAGCTTGAGAGTGGAACATTAATTTCTTGCACTGAACTAAATTCTTACACTACACTAAACTAAAATAAGCAACGACGATAATTTCACAATTTTTCAATTTTATGAATCACTAATTTTTAGTCAGGAGCAGGCGAGGCTCTTGCACATTTTTAACGCGGGTAGATAGGTTTTGGCGTCGATTTATTATTAAGGTCTTGTTCCATTTCTGTTTCGTATTGCTATTTTCGTTACAATTTAGAATTTCGATAGATTTTATTTTTTCGTCGTTGTTTTATCAGTGGCCTATTTTTTATTTAGAGACACAACATAACTAATGTTTTATAAATAATTTTTGAATGTCAGACGCGTGCCGAAAATTTAATTTTTCATATTTCCGAATAAAAAGATGATATTAATGAAATCGCAGTGCAATGAAAACTGGTCAGTCAAAGGAACATAATAACAACCATCTTTCTCTCTCATTTCCAGTGCGCAAGAAAGAGATAGTGGACCTGCACCGGCGCAACACGGAACTGCGAGTAGAGAGCGCATACGTCACGCGCAATGCGTCACATGACAACGACCAGGCGCGAGCCCTGCTCGCTGAGAGACAAAACCTCTCAGTGGAAGAGGCCAACATACGCCGGTCGGTGCAGAAGCTCATCGCTGCTATAGAAGTTATTAGGAACAGCTAAACGAGTCTTTTAGGTACAGTTTGCTTCAATAGAAGCTGTCAATTTATTTATATTCATTAATTGATACTGACCTGTCTTGTATTTGGGTATAGTCTATCTAACTGTTCCCTTTGCAGTCAAGTTTGACTGCGAAGGGAACAGTTTAAGTCGATTTTTATTTATTTATTTATTTAGGACAACCAACAAGACAGACATAAGTACAAGCAGAGGGGCTTACATACATATTTTGTAATTTATTTACAAAATTGACAGTTTTTATTGTTAAAAGCAATATCTTCAGACCAATTTTTTAATTACTTTATGGCCATAGTTCAGGGAAAGTCTTTGGGGAACTAATTTTGGGGTATCAAAAATCATCAACAGTACCTTTGCTACATACACGCTGCCTAATCTCTTGACGTGCTGGATCGTTTCAGTGCTCTTTATAACTACGTTCTTCATGCACACAATATAATTGCATATAATATAGCGTTCCCGTGTATAATACGCCAAACGAAGGAATAACGTTTAAGTTAGTAATTTTTGACACGCATTTGATATTGTTGATCTAATAAAACAATTCATTGCAAATATACATATTTTCATTATTTATTGCAATACACAATACCGATGTAAATACCTAACTAAAAATTGATTACAAGTAAAAAACCAAACGGAATTGATGTAAAATTTACTAAACATGCATTGGTGTACCACAGGGCTCTACTTTAGGTCCTACAATATAAAATTTAATATTTCATTATACATATTATTATTTTAAGCAAGCATTTAAACATTTTACAGGTTAACGATTGCAATAATTAATATTAAACTTAATTTATAATATAAGAACTATTTTACCAAATGAGGCTACAATATTCTAGTCAGTAATAAATACTTAATAATACAATATATCACACACTGGGTTATGTACAATTTGATAATGCTTTGGATTAATCACATTGATGTTGTTGGATATTTAATTTAGTTTTTGTTTGTTAAGTGAATGATTTTCAATTTATTTCAATAAGTTAAAATTAGAAATTAGAAGATTATTCTCTCAAAGAGACAATCTTGACGAAATTAGAGTTGTAACACACATACAAAGTGTTTTGTATCATATAGTTATAGAGCATGATTACGTACATAATGATAAATATCTGTAAATATAATGTTATTTTGTAAGAAATAACTTAAAATATGCATTTATTTTTTATTGTAAAAATAACCATGTATAAAAAAACATTAGGATATTTACTGCTTGTCAATTTAATTGGGAATTCAAAAATCAAAGATTTTATTAGAACTTACTTTATAAAACGAATACCCGAAAATGAAAAGGGGTAATTTAGTTAAATAAACCAATTTCTGACTGAAAATGCTGGAATAATCAATTTTTTGCTCCATCCAAATTTGTAAATAAAATATTTTCTATATTTTGCAAAATATTATTCAGTGCCTAAGTTTAAAAGAACTAGTAATAGTGCAATATTTATAACGGACATATTTTAGATGCAATAAATTATTCTAATATAGAAATAAAAAACGTACAACAACAATTATTTTCATTTTGTACTGTTAAAAACCCTCTAAATTAAAATATCTTACACACTGAATTGTACCAATTATTGACACCACACCAATCTGGTATAAGTTTGTGGTCACAGTCATAATGGTTGTTTCGATCTAGCTTACAAAATACATAATCAGGGGGCTTATTGTGAGTTTACACCAAACGTATTCGATATCGACTGCGTTTAACCGCCTCTATGGTCTAATGGTAAGACCACCTGCTTCAGACGCAGAGGTCCCGGGTTCGATTCCCAGTGGGGGCAGATTTTTCTGTTCGGTTTGGTTAGTGGTAGGGCTTGTTCTAAGTCCGCCTGGCTAGCTACCACCATCTTACCTAAGTTTGTCGCCATAACAACAATGTTAACAGCATTGTTGTGTTCCGGCAGTTACAGGTGAGATAGCCAGTTCCTCCGTGGTTGAGGATTCCGGGTGAAGCTCGCTTCCACCTTTGGTCTGGTTGTCACTTACCATCAGGTGAGATACAGGCCAAGAGCTTCCTCGTTGTGGATAAAAAAACCTACATTAAATGTATGATGGATTGTACATTACAGCAACCCTAGCGGATACCGTCAAGAACTAAAATTTAGATAGATTTTTGTGCATTTTTCGCATTCGATATCGAATATGTTTAATTTAAACTTACACTACCCCCAGAAGGTAATTCCAAAGCGATTGCCTTCTCACTTTCGATCAGCGAATGTATTATAGTACATACCTATGTGCATCTGATTGCAAAATTAGTGTCAATAAAAACATTTAAACTAGTTAGTTTAATTTTGAACTTACAACTTCCATCAACTAGCTTTGTCCAGGCAGCACAGTGCAGTGCCGGCCACGATTAGGACCACACCGAGTATCGAACCTGCAAAGCAAAATAATATTGGTTTTAATTCCATACATTTTACTCAATAAATAGATGACGGATTTGCGCTCACTATTTGGCGCAACTATTGTCTGGTCCGGGAGCACGTAGAATTTTGTCCAATGACCCCAAGCTATCCATCCTTATCGCTCGCGCGTAATTATGTTGCTGTCACGCTCGCACACTCACTGCGGGTGCCCGTCGCACAGTCGCGACAGCAATATAATTACGCGCGAGCTATAAGGATGGGTAGCTTGGGGTCATTGGACAAAATTCTACGTGCTCTCGGACCAGACTATAGCGGGTTACAGGACTTTACAATGGCGCCAGACTTCTTAGCCACTAGTGATAGAAACTTACTTTAAACTAGTAACTAACTTACTAAAAGCTGGTTTTTAATAACCGCGTGACGCGTCTATGGTCTGGTAACATCTGCCTCTGATACTGCGGTCCCGGGTTCGATTCCTAGTGGGGGCAAAATTGGTGTGGTCGGTGTTAGGGCTTGTTGTAAACCACCACAATCTCGCCTAAGTCTGGGATGGAATGGCCCACTTACTGGCAGCAAAATTAAATGTGTAATCCGCCACTAGATACATTCCAATAGCTTCAAATTCAAAGTTTATTCAGTATAGCCTGACCAGGAACATAAAAACCCTGGCATAGAGGCGCTTCAATTGCATTTGATAGTGCAACACTGAGTACAGTCGTACCTGTGTTAAATTAATAGGCTAACTTTATGTATCAGGATTCAGGATTACGGGCTAATTTGATATTTTCATAAATTAACGAAAAAATATTATTATAGGTAACCTGATTTTAATAAATTAAATGAAACCATCAATCGAGCTAGTACATTTATTTTATTATTCATCAATAATCAAATTCAGAACTTGAATATTCAACTGCAATGTCTGCTCATGAACGCTTCAAACTCGGTACTTCTTTCCCAATCCCATAAAATTCAACACTTAGAAAGTGACAAAATTTTTAAAATAGGTAGTTGAAACAAACCACAGCTAATTTTCATAGTGGACTGTACTATACGATAAACATGTCAGTCAATTTGACAACCTTTGTCGGAAACATTATTCAATGAAAATATTGTCCGAACTCTTAGTATTTCTCTTCGACAAATACTTTAACACATTGTGAACCACTTTTCTTTCACGACTATAAAAATATTTTAGCAATTCAATTCATAAAACCAATTGCGCACATTTAAAATAAAGTTTGTTTACACTTTGACAGCAATAGACTGACATGCAAGGTGACATGTCAATGAAGTTTTCAGTTACTGTTGCCATTAAAAGAAATTAGTACCATTAGTTTTCCGCAACATGGCGAGGGTTTTTATGTTCCTGGTCGGGCTATACAAGGCCTTTTCCAGGGCACTAAAACACGTCCCAAATATAGCTTGCCCTACCACCGCTTCGGGACAACATAATATGGGCTGGCGTTGAGAAAAAGTGACGTAAGAAACTCACGAAACTCACGCCCGTATTCACACATCACACACATTACTATGAGGTCTCACAGTGCGCGTGGACGCACAGGGTATCTCACGAACCAATCACATAGCTCTATTCAACGCTGTGCGTTCGATTTGCTGCTTCACATAAGCAAGCATCGTTTGTGAATATGGGCGTCAGTCACCTTCTCCTTTGTGGATGAAAATAAAACAGCCTTACCTTTATCGAGGGGCTCTTCCGCGCCCACGGCGGCGCCGACGACGGCGGTGAACGCGAAAGCAAGGCTGTTGGCAGCGGGAACCGCCAGCGAGAGCGGCGCGCGCTGAACCGCTGCCAGGTAAGCTAGCGAGCCCGATTGGTTGACCAACCAGGGCACCACGTACTGGTGAACGAAACAAGACCTTATGTCAATACCGTTTGGTACCAAGCGAGAGGCGCGCGCTGCACCGCTGCCAGGTAGGCTAGCGAGCCCGATTGGTTGACCAACCAGGGCATCACGTACTGGTGAACGAAACAAGACCATACCGTAAGACTCTAGCTCAGCGGTTCCCAAACTTATTTTGTCTACTGCCCACTTTGAGAATAAATTCTTTTTAGCAACCCCATTTGTAGTCGAGTGTCGAGTGCTCAGTTGATATCTAGTCCTCCTAGTAAATGACGCCTCCCAAGTCTCTACACAACGTCCCGATTTTTTTTCTGGGTCTCTTACCGCCCCCCTCTAAGCCTGCAGCGCCCACAAGGGGGCGTTATCGCCCACTGTGGGAAAGACTGCTCTAGCTGATCAGGCACCACGCACTGGTACATGCAAAACTAGATCTTATAATAATACTGTTGCAAAACAAAGCCTTATGTCAATACTGTAGAGATTATAGTCGTATGAGAAGCGCCCGCTGCACGCCAGGTAGGCTAACGAGCCAGATTGGTTGACCAGCCACGGGACCACGTACTGGTGAACGAAACAAGACCATATGTCAACACTTTAGAGTGTAGAGTCTATAGTCAGTTAGGTCGACTGTGACTGTGTCGGTACTATTACTGGTACAACAAGATCTTAATGTCAACTGTAAGGTTAGACTGCTGGCTGAATATCACGTACAAGTAAAACAAAATCTTATGGCAATACTGTAAGGTCGACTGTTGGTAGCAAGCGAGAGGCGCGTGTTGCACCCTTGCGAGGTAGGCTAGCGAGCCCGACCGGTTGACCAACTACGGGACCACGTACTGAGAAAATCGGGCCTTATGTCAACACCGTAGTCTAGTCTGTGAGCGGTGGCCAACGCTTATACCTAATATTAATATGGATTATTGCTTTTGTTGCGGCAGATTAGAAAGGGACCACTCTCACTGTTCCATATGCGATTAACGAGCCTCCTAAACCCGCCTGATCACCAATATGCCTTCGGTGACATAGAGCAAATAATAATAGTCCGGCTCGAAGGACCATGTAAGGGGCAAAAATGTGGAGTATACTAAATGAGCTTTGATTCTAAACTTGAATTATTTTTCAAACTAACCCTCCAGTTTCCTAATAAGAAAGAAACTTCAGCCACTGCTTGCCCCAGCCAGCCTTTCGCTCGGACATCTCGCAGGCCCTTGGTGCCCTGTCGGATGAAGGGGTTCGTGCACCCCCATAGGGCTCCGGTCAGGACCAGGAGACCTGAAAGCATTCAGGGATATGAGTGAATAACTTGGCATCTCTTTTTAATATTTTTGCTCTATGGAATTAATGTTTTTATAAGCTCGGAAATATGTAGGTAATCAGGCAAATAAGTTATTTATTTTATGTGCCTTTTTCATTTTTCAGCCAATTTCTATTTCCACGATTTTCTTATTCATTTCAATTCCAATTACTATAGTTTTTTCCAAAATTCTTTTCTATGTTCTGGGTTTTTTTTTAAATAAATGAATAAAACAAGTATAATTAAAAAATACATTTATTTCAATAAATCTAAATCTTTAATAGTCTTTAAAAACATTTTATCACATATAAAAAATGTCAATTTATAAAATAACTTTTAAATAAAGTCCTACACAATTTATTTGGTACTTCATTATTATAGCCAATTAATTAAAACCATAAAATTACAGATGTAAATATAGCGCCTATAAAACTAAGTTAAATCACCAATACAATGTACTATTGAGCCCATCATAAAGGGAAATAATTACAGTTTGTAATTAAAGATAAATACAAATAAAATATTTTGTTTTTACAATATAAGATTAAATTACAAAGTTTGAGAAAGAATTACACAAATTGCAAACACCATAGGTAAAGTAAATGAAAAATCTTAACAAATACATTTTTATCACAAGTAAATAAATTTTTATAAATGATCTATTGCCATGAACACAGTTTTATCTACAACTAGCTGACCCGGCGAACTTTGTTCCGCCTTAATGGCAATAAATAAGCAGACTTTTTTTTTTTATTTCGAACGGGATAAAAAGTATCCTATGTCCTTCTCCTGGCTCTAAACTACCTCCCTGACAATTTTCAGCTAAATCGGTTCAGCCGTTCTTGAGTTATAAGTGGTGTAACTAACACGACTTTCTTATATATATATATAGATAGATATAGACTAACAATTATAAATTTAAAAAAAAAGCAGAATACAAAATAAACTAAGCACCAAATAGTAGCTATCATGATCCCAAAGGCACCCCAGGAGTCATAGGTACCACTTTTGCAAAAGAAAAGTAATTTTTGTCGACCCACTGCACAAACTCTTGGCCTAACGCCACAGAACATTCCAAAGCTAATATACAGTCATTCTCTGCTCGATGAGCCTCTAATGGAGGACGATTTAACAGCCTTTCATAGATGTCCTTCAACTTGTATGAATCTTTGAGCTTGCTTCCTTCACTCCAAGGGAATCTTCTTCTTGCCTTGCTTATTTTTTTATTTGTTTCTCTTGGTGTAACATTGCCACTGTGTTTCGTTTGTGGTGTAGATTCGTTTTTTAATTTCATGTGTAATGTATTCTTCAATGTATACAGTTCATTCTTATCCTCATTTTCTATGGTGTGACTGTTCTTTATGGTGTGAACATTTTCAGTGTGTTGACCATTTTCTATGATGTGGCTATTCTCTAATTTTTGACCATTTTCTTCGGTCTGAGCATTCTCTTTGGAGATTTCAGTGTTAAAAATACTTTTTTTTGCTTCCATTATGTCAAAGAACCCATGATAGCAGTCTGCACACAATAAATCTTCAGAGAAAGCAACTTTCAACTTTTCCACTTGACACTTGAGGATCGGGAAGTCGAAACCTGCACCATTCTGAGCGATCAAACACACTGGCTTTGACAACACATTCAGAAATGTATTGATCATGTTGAACACATTGATGTTGAAGTCTGGTTCGTATTCTAAGAGGTCGTTGCAAAGGCCTGTAACCTTGGTACAGTCAGGATGTATCATTCTCCCTGGATTCAAGCATAAAGTCAATTTATGTTGCACCCGTGGCGCCGCGCCGGGCCGCGTGTCCAACAAATGGTCTCGTTTCACTGCCACCATACTAATTTCCGTGATTTTCGTCCTGTTGTTTTCTTCCTTAGGGAGCCCGGTGGTTTCTAAATCGATAAACACGTATGTCGCGACCTGCACCGTAGGCGTTGCCATTGCGGTATTTACGGTGGCTAAAGCCGCCTTAACGTGTAGGTACTAATCAAGGCGCTTACCAATCGCTTCCAGCATGTCCAATGTAGAAATAGACCAATTAGGGAACAAGTCTAGACCTGACTTTCCGGTCTAGATATCCTAACGGTAAGCTGAATGAAATTGACAGTTTATTCAACTTAATTTTCAGAGACTCGAAGACCAATGTATTTTAGAAATGATAAACGAATTAATTAATATACGTTCTATTACTAAATTACAAAAAGAAAAATACATGCGACGAGGGAAAAACATAGAAAAAATGACATGACAACATGTCAAAAGTGTCAACTGTCAAAAATATATTTTACAAATTTTTATACAACATTGGAATTGTCATTATTAAGCCAGACGATATTTTTAATGCAAAAAAGGAATTTTTATTTTAATTTCGTATGGCGTGCAATAAAATTGATGCTAGACTCTGTAACAAAACAAGCTGTATCACTTCTCTTGTAGCGACTCTTTAAACTCGAATCAATAAATGATTTGCATTTAATTTTCAATCACTCGCATTGATTGATTTGATTCACATCACAATTTCACATCACTAAAACGTCAACGTCATGTCGATTTGGAGGTTGAATTTTTCGTTTCGGTTTTCTCCACTGAATTCTCTAGATTTTCCGTAATTAGTTCATTGTCAACTACTAAAAACCTCAACTCTTTAAATTAAAACCACGTGGGAACAACTAAACTGCCATGTCAAGGCGGTACCGTGATGTAGCTGCAAAAATGCAGCAAAATGTCCAGAAACATCTAAAGGAGATGAAAGACTTGTCTTCCTCTGAAGATGAGGAGCCTTACGAGTCTAGCGTGCTGGAGGGAGTCTTCCAGACGTATACACGAGGCGGCGGCGATACCCATATGTTGGATAGAACCAGACATCTCCTGGAAGAGGCGATCAGCGGCCGCTCAGTAACGTGCCTCATTTGTATAGCCTCTATCAAGAGAGCCGACGCTATATGGACTTGCGAGCACTGTTTTTCCTATCTTCACCTCTTGTGTATACAAAAGTGGGCCAACGACAGCGTCAGTCTTCTCACTGAAGAGACACAGGCACCTCTAGCAGTTGTCAAACCCCGAAAAATTGAATGGTGCTGTCCCAAATGCAGAAACTCGTACACCAAAGATCAAATACCTCGAAAGTACAGGTGTTTTTGTAGCAAAACCGATAATCCTCCTTTCCATCCATGGCTGGTGCCTCATACTTGTGGAGAAGTGTGTGGAAAGCCTTTGTCAAGCGGAGATAATTGTAAGCACAAGTGTTTGCTACTTTGCCATCCTGGACCGTGCCCTCCATGCCCACAAACAGTAAATGGAGTGTGTTATTGTGAGAAAGAACGCAAGAGAGTCAGATGCAGTGCTGCAAAATGGTCCTGTGGACAGCAGTGTAAGAAATTACTCTTCTGCAAGTCGCACAAGTGTGAGAGCACCTGCCATCCAGATGACTGCCCGCCATGCAGCTACGTAAGTGTGCAGGCTTGTCGATGTGGTGCTGAAAAAACTAAACGGCCTTGTAATGATCCTTCATGGCAGTGCAAGAAAGTTTGTAACAAGCCATACTCATGTGGCTATCATAAATGTGAGAAAGTATGTCATTCTGGTGATTGTGGTACTTGCCCAAATTCAGGAACTAGGTCTTGCCCGTGTGGGGCTAACCAGCGGTATGTCCAATGCCCGGATGTTATGGAAACATGCTTAGGAACCTGCAATAAGAAGCATGACGACTGTGAACATCGCTGTCCAGAGAAGTGTCATAAGGGAGCATGCCCTCCATGCCAAGTGTTGATCGAGAAGAAATGCTTCTGCTCAGCTCATTGCAGAATGCTTCCTTGTAGCAAAGAATATAAATGTGAAACTAAATGCAGGGGAATAAGACCATGTGGCAAGCACGGTTGCAGTCGCAAATGCTGCAATGGCAACTGCCCACCCTGTGAGAAAGTCTGTGATAAACCACTCCAATGTGGACGTCACAAATGCACAATGGTTTGTCATCATGGGCCATGCTACCCCTGTCCAAGAGAGTCCAAAATAACATGCAGATGTAAAGAGACCTACATAACAGTCTTGTGTGGAAGAGAGAGACAAACAAAACCTCCGAAATGCAACCTCCCTTGCAAAATAAAATACAAGTGTGGTCATATCAATGAAAACAAACATTCCTGCCACTTTGGGGACTGTCCTCCCTGCAAGGCTATTTGTAAAAAAGCCTATGAAAAATGCGAGCACAACTGTATAGCTGTATGTCATGAGAACGTAGCTGTAGTTTTCAAACCAGTAGCGAAGCCAGCTACACCATGGGAGATAACACCACCAAAAACCAAAATAATGACTTTAGACTGCCCTCCCTGTGAGACACCTGTCCCTGTCATATGCTTTGGTGAACATGAGACAGAGAATCAGCCTTGCCACTCTGCTAAACGAAGATGCTGCGGTCGCAAATGCGGCCGACCGTTGGCCTGCGGCAACCACACCTGCTCTTTACTCTGTCACTTTTACACAAATCAACCTGACTATCCAAATGTCCCGTCTAATTGTAAACCATGCAATAAAGAATGTGCAGTAATCCGTCCCGAAAAATGCTCCCACAAATGCAGCATTAGAGCCTGTCACCCAGGGGAATGTCCACCATGTGAAATTCTGGAACGTATTCCATGTCACTGTGGAATCACTGAGCTGTACTTACGCTGTCGTGAGCTGTCTATTGCCACTGAAGAAATGCTGTCTTGCAAACAGCAATGTCCTAAGAATCTCGAATGCGGACATCGCTGCAGAAATACCTGCCATTCAGGATTGTGTGGGCTTGGCCAGGTGTGCAATAAGAAGACCAAAATTTACTGTGAGTGTGGTAATTTGAAACGAGATGCACCATGCAACTTGGTCCGTTCCGGTGAGGCTAAAGTTGCATGTGATGAAAGTTGCGCAGCTAAGAAACTTGCAGCCAAACTAGAGAAGGATAAAGAGGAACTGAGATTGAAAGAATTGGAAGAAGAAAAAACCCGTAGGGAGCTAGCGGAATATGAATGGAAATTGAGCGGCAAGAAAAAGAAATATAAAGAAAAGAAGCAGGTTGCAAATGAAGACAATAGAAGTTGGTGGCAGAAGTATTGGATTCCTATTTTATCTGTTTTAATTACTATCTTTGGTGCATTGTATCTTGTTATTGAGGTTTAAGAATATTAATTTGTTTTCGTCTGAACAAAATTACTGTTCAGTAATTATTATAGACTTTTGAAAGACATTTCATTTTAACCTTGCCATTTTTTTAACTCTTGATTATAATAATTTATTTGATTGAGTGATTTTTAAATGTAGACTATTTTTAATTGTTTATATTTATTTTTTAAATTTGAGACTGGTCTACTTATTGTTCTTAGAGTGTGCTAAGTATGTGGTTTGATATTTCCATGTGAATTATTAATAAGAATGTTTTTTTTTCGTATAAAGCTGTGTTCACACTGATAATAGGGCTACACTGGTGTAGTGATGTGGTATGTAGGAGTAACTTTTATATTTATTTGGTGTGAATGTAGCTGTTGTAATGACTAGGTTTAAGGTATTATTTAAGTATGTATTTAAAATATGGAAGTCCCATTATCTAGTTTTACCTTGTGATAATTTTTTAATAATAAAATTACAGAAAAGAATAAAATTGTTTGCTGTTTTTTTTTAAGAATTACCTACACCTAAATAAAGATGGTTCGAAATTTACATGGTCATGGTACCTACATATCATATTCAACTAGTCTCAAATTAATAACGAAATAACGAGCAAATCCTGCTATAGGTAGGTAGGTAAGTAAACACATATGTATAACACTTATGTATACAATACAATACAAAACTGATGAGTAGATCACTGTACCAAGGTAAATGAGTGCTCTTTTAAAGACAATTTTATTAATTTTACGAATCCTGTTAAAAATTGTGATAAATCAACAAAGAAAAGAAAGTCCCATACAAATGGTGACAGTGTGACGCCATCTAGTGGTAATTATTGTTCTCACTTACTATTTTGCACTTGACAATCAATTGCAGTTTAAATAAATAAAATAAGTTTCTTTGCATCCATTCGTTCCTATTTACGTTGCAGAAGCAGAAGTGGCTTCCATTCCACGTCCTCATCATTTCTGCAATGCCTGCTTGAGTTCATAAAGACATCTTTTACTAATCAAAACATTTGCTATAAATATTTTTCTAGGAGTTTTCGGATTCATTCTTCAGGCGTAGTAAAATAAAGAAATAATTATTAAACAATTTATTTTTACTCGAATTACAGATTACGTCTATGACAAGACTTCCCTCGCTGCTATTTTATGGACGGTTTAGATAAATTATTTGATAATCACACAAAACTAAAACAATGTCCCATCGAACGTTTAGTGAGCTCCGAAATTGGTTAAAATAAAGTTAGTTGTTTTAAATAAGATCTCTATAATGACTATAGATAATACAATAATATATTTACCTTGAAGAAGTAAATAATGTCGAAGATATTCCGTTTTAGGTAAAAGTTCACATTATCCATAATACATTATCATTATTAACTTAAATTAGTAATGGATAAGCATTTGTTACATAGAAAAATTAACATTAAATGACTAATGATTTCCGAAAGGTAGTCAATCCTTTATTCTATGACTTCCTTTGCCTTCTAAATATTTTTAGCCTTTACAGCCACCATCATGGTGAGACCATTCGTACTTAGCTATACATCGAAAACTTGCCACAAAATGACACATTTCTTCAATTAATTTTTAACTTTCACATCTAAGGAATGAAGTGGAAAATCCATTGAAGAAATTGTTTATTTATGGCAGATTAATACAAATTTCCCTGTCGACATACCTTTCGGAAATGATAAAAATAAATCATGGTAACATAAAAGTGGTCGATGGCACTTTAGGATAAACCACAGTGAAGAATTAAAAGCTTAATTGTTATTTTTACAGCACCAAATTAATCGTTTTCCATCAAAAAAAGTAATTTTTCATTTCATTGAATGAATCATCTAACAAAACTTTAGGTGAGATGTCTAAAGACAATAATTACAGGTAGGTATTAGTGAAATGATGTGGTATGGTTCAATTTTGTTCGTTTAATATTCGTTAGTTTCTGAACAATTCGGAAAATGTTCATATCCATCCATCGAATTCATAATCATGTCATCAATATAAACCACTTGAACCATTTCATTAGAAAATTAACGAACTCTAGTGTTAATTTCT